CCTGAACGATGCTTAAATGCTTAAATTTAAGCAAAAAACAGATGGTCAAATTTTGTTGAAATACTATACCTTGATCCAGAAATTTAGGCAACATTCACGATGCTCAACAAAAAATCAAAGACATTTCGATATCGTACCGGGATTATTTTTCCTAACAGTTAAATTGAATTTTTGGCATTTATCTCGAGCAAAACTTTATTTGCTACTGCGTCAAACCCGCGCGAAGCGATCAAAGCAATTGAATTATGATCCTTTGGGAAATGAATCTGATAGGGGGGTAATATCGCTCAACAAATTATCATCCATCATATCAAACATTTGCAGTAGTTGTTGCTCATCAATCACCCGTTGCTCTTCCTGGGCAAGTTCCTGTTTTTCAGGTTTCATCAGCTTATACGTATTCAGGAGCAAATTTTTGCTTGTGATTGTACTGATATCAAAATTTGCTATCATTTCATCAATATTGTACACGCGGCTCGATGCGTTATCGAATTTTTTCAAGCCCCGGCCAGACAGTAAGAAATTTAGGACTGAGAGTTCCGGGACAGAGCTGTAGGCTCGGGCATAACTTCGTGAGTTATTGGGCAGCGAAAAACGCGGGCCATTTCGGAGTATCAGATTTCCGATACTTATAAAAACTGGCGTTGGCCATTGCAGGGCCTCATAGACCGGAAGTTGAAGAAAATCGCGTGATGTGGAAGCAACGTAATGGCTTGCACAGAGCGTATGATTATCAACAATGTTCGCAAAAAATGATGTAGGCATAGAATTGGGCCTGAGCAGCACTTGATCCATGGCCGGTACGGGCCTCGGTAACATACCTTCCAGAATATCTCGATACTGAAATGTACCCGCAGCAATCTTTAGCCGAACAGTATGCGGCACCCCGTCCCTCGCCATAATTTTCGATTCACTCCGTGGTCTCAGAGCGCATTTACTGCTGCAGAGCGGCAATTTCACCGGTTCCTTTAGTGTCGGATCAGTCTGAATGTCAAAAGAATTGAAAAATATTTCAAAAAATTGACAAAAAAATTACAATTTCTGCTTTATACGTAGGGAAATCTCAGTTTGTTTCTTTTTCGATGATTACCAGAAAGCAGCAGTTTACAATTCGATCGTCCTATCAGCTATGTTATATGGCTGTGAGACGTGGAACACTACTTTTACTGAAGAACGGAAATTGGTAGTCCCTCAAAGAGCAATGGAACGGCGGATGACTGGCGCCAACAGGCTACAGCACATCCTAAATGAAGTGCTACGAGCCGGATCTGGTGTGAAAGATATTACTGAAGTAATGTACGCCAGAAAGAGGAGATGGACTGGTCAGGTGGCGTGAATGTCAGATAATGGATGGACGAAACAATGTGGAAAATAATTTGAGACTCCGTATAAATAACATAAATCCAGATTTCAATAATCTTGTGTCAAAAGTTCAAGCTCAGAGCCCACATTAACTTGCCGTTACTTTTTTTTTAATGAATGAACAACCTCATAAAAACTTATCTGTTTTCATGCGTCTTTGCATCTTATGCAAATGCAAAACATATGATTTCGAGAGCAAATTTGTACGACGCCCTTTTCTACCGTATGCAAGAAAAGACCAAAACATAGGCACATGAACTGCATGTGTTAAATTGTAAAGCAGTAACTGCTCATACTGTTAACGATTCGAGACTACATCAAGTTCAGCGCAAAAACGCATGATCGCACGGGCAAGCCTGGTGCGTTTAATACCTGGGTTTTATTAAGAGATGGCCCGTGAGCTTAAGTATGTAAATCAGGCCCGTATTTTGCCAAAGGTTGCCCATGACTAGTGTAAAGTAATCACAGCTCGAAAAAAATAAATAGCAACTCGCACCAGACTAGTCGGTGCAATCATGCGTTTTGTACAATTCACCCCATCGAACGATTGCCTATTAATGATTTTCACTGCTTTGTACTTTAGTCTATGCAAAAATAGCTCAAACATTCGAAAACAGTTAAAAATTTCACGCACCGGCGCATGAAAACTGAATTCGAAAGCTTGAAGAATGAATATCTTTACCCCGAGTTAATACTTTACCCGCCAAAATTTTCACGAGGCCGTAGGTGAAACCCGAGAGCGCGGGAACAGTGAATTTGAATAAGCAAGATTGGGCATGGGCCGGAGGGGGG